AACAGACTGAAGCCAACATTTCGATTTTGAATATTTTGCATTTTATTTAACAAACGTACTTAAAAATTCGCAAGTTTGTATAATATTCCAATTTATACATATGGTGAAAATTTTGTTTCACTATCAAAATTATTTCAAAAGTTATGTTGATTTGAAATTCTGACTTAAGTCTGTTCTCAGTTTATGGTCTTGGGGCCGGAGGACATGAATTTCAGATTTTGATAAAGGGTTCAGTGCCCATTGTAATTATGCAAACAGCTTGTCTGCAAGCTGTCTCTGAGAAATGGTTATTAAAGGTGTAATGAATTTTCACGACCAACTTAGCTCCACCATGCTGGAACCAAAAACGATACAAAATTAACGGACCGTGGCACATGTATTTACGTTGTGGTAGAGGGCTCATTATACCCGCACTTTCTAAAGAAAGTTCGGGTATATTGTTGTTGCTTATTAGAATCATGCAAACAATTTGAATATTTGATGTCCAACAGCCAAAAAAAAAAAAAAAAAAAAAAAAAAAAGAATATGTTTCCATTTCAACTAATGACAGAGTAAGCCCCAACCTTGATCGTGAACTCTAGGGTAAAAAATGTCACATTTTTCGTAGAGGGCTCAGTACTTATCATACGTCTCTTTCCCATCCAGTTGTACAGAAGACATTTTCTAGAATATGATAAATGCATTATTAACCTATGACCAGCCTAGCCTCTCCCTGCGTCCTTAACTCTGAAGCCAGGAGAAATCAATTTTACAACTTTGCCAACAGTTTGATTGCTTGTTTTCCAGAAGTATTACGCTTAAGTTAAGTTTAATTGTAGTCTAGGAGTAAATATGATTCTTAAGATTGCATTAATTTTAGTTTAACATTATCAGCTTCTTATCTGGGACGGCTGAACCAATTGCAACAAATTTCGGTGCATAACATCTATGGGTAAAGTGGAAAAAATTTGAAAATCATGGTCTGTTTCCCTTTCTAAACTAAACAAAAATCAAATTAATTTATCTAAAGTAAAAATTTTCTATTAGACCATTTCATATTGCCATGATATATTGTCTACATAAAGAGGCGAAACTCTGATATATGATAATGTTCTGCTTCTCAAATTCAGATCCTTTCATTTTTTACGAAAAAAAATCAGGCTTATAGAAATTCTGACTGGCACTTGATTCATGATCCATGCACTTTTTTCATCCCGTATTCTTTACAGAACAGCAGATATTGCTTTGACATAAAAAAAATCCAAAAAAACCTTGAATAGGCCTTTAATAAAATACTTTGTTTGGAGGCATTGTGACTTTGACCCTCTCCTCTGACCTTCTAAAAATAATCATCTTTGAACAGTAAGATGGTCACTTTTGTATTTAGAATGTGATTCAGCCTTTTTTCAAGTATCAGATATAAAGACCTTTGACCTGCTTCCAAAATCAATTGAACCTCCATTTTTAGCTCTACTGGTCAGAGACCAGAAGAGCTTATGCGCTAGTAAAATGTTCGTCGTCCGTCTCTGTCAGTAAACAATTTTTCAAAACACTACTCCTGGTACAGTTTTGGACTGATTTCAATAAAACTTGGCAGACAAGTAGACTACACTAAGATACATAATTCAGTGCATCGGTTTTTGATTTCGATGAAAGGTATTACCATGGTTACTAAAAATAAAAATCTCTGTGAAATTCCTTTAAAACGATCCTTCTCCTACAGTTTTGATCTGTTTTCAATATCCTGGCACACAAGCAGACTACACTTAGATACATAATTTAGTGCATCAGCTTTTGATTTTGATGGAAGATGTTGCCATGATTACAAAAAATAGAAATTTCTGTAAAATTCCTTTAAAACGCTACTCCTCCCACAGTTCTGGTCTGACTGCAATACAAGTTAATTGGTCACAAAGTAGACTACACGAAGATACATAATTTAGTGCATGGGTTTTTGATTTCGATGAACGGTATTGCCAAGATTACTCAAAATAGAAATTTCTGTGAAATTCTTTAAAACGCCACTCCTCCTACAGTTTTAGTCTGATTTCAATATAACTTGGCACACAGGCACACACTGAGATACATAATTTAGTGCATCGTTTTTGATTTCGATGAAAGGTGTTGCCATGGTTACTAAATATAGACATTTCTGTAAAATTCCTTTACAACGCTACTCCTCCTACAGTTTTGGTCTGATTTCAGAATAATTCGGCACACAAGTAGACTACATTTAAATACATAATTTAGTGCATGGGTTTTTAATTTCGATTAACTGTCTTGCCCTTGTTACTAAAAATAGAAATTTCTGTGAAATTCCTTTAAAACGCTACTCCCCTAGTTTTGGCCCGATTTCAATATATCTTGGCACACAGGTAGACTACAATAAGATACATAATTTAGTGCATCAGTTTTTGATTTCGATGAACGGTGTTGCCATGGTTACAAAATATAGAAATTTCTGTAAAATATCTTTACAACGCTACACCTCCTACAGTTTTGGTCTGATTTCCATATAACTTGGCAGACAAGTAAACTACACTAGGATACGTATTTTAGTGCATCGATTTTTAAATTCGATGAAAGGTTTTGCCATGGTCACTAAAAATAGAAATTTCTGTGAAATTAATTTAAAACACTACTCCTGCTATACTTTTAGTCTGATTTCAATATAATTTGGCGTACAAGAAGACTACACTAAGATACATAATTTAGTGCATCGGTTTTCGATTTCGATGAAAGGTATTGCCACGGTTACTAAAAATAGAAAATTTCTGCAAAATTCTTTACAACGCTACTCCTCCTACAGTTTTGGTCCGATTTCAGAATAACTTGGTACACAAGTAGACAACACTAAGATACATAATTCAGTGCATCGATTATGATTTCGATGAACGGTGTTGCCATGGTTACTAAAAATAGAATTTTTTAAAAAATGCCTTTTGAACATTACTACTGCTACAGTTTTGGTCTGATTTCAATCTAATTTGGCACACAATTAGACTACACTACGATACATAATTCTATTTATTGCTGCATGTTGCAAAGTTTCAAATCCAAGTGCCGCCGAAATATGGCTGAAATAATGCCGACTCGGCGTAAAACAACAATAATCAATCAATCAAATCCAAGTGCTACTTTTCCTTTGTTATACGCACAGACCAGTAGAGCTACAGTCTCCTCAGAGACTTCTGGTTTGAAACATAGTTCAAGGTTTTTAGCATATAAATAGACACTTGGCTTGCTACCGTGCAATCTTAAACTTTTTTTGGAATCACTTTAAGGACAGTAAAATTTGCTCTATGAATTTCTTATCTAAAATGTGTTTTACTTTGTGTACAATTATTGAACAACCAGACTTGTGACCCTGCATGATTGTTGAAATCTAGATACAAGCACATTGTCTACTGAATAAGTGTAAAAGGGGTCTTATTGTTATATATCCTGAAAATCAACTGGTACAAGACCTTCTAACTTAAATTATCATTGAGAACCTTGACCTTGATCTTTGACCTTATCTTCCATTATCACATAAAAAAACTGGATTAAAAAAAAAATGATTCTATTTTAAAATTCTCTCCCTAAGACTCAATCAGGTTTCAACCAATTATATCCTAAATATCCTAGGAACACCCTAGTTAAACAAAGGTTTGTGAACATGAATTAAATGTTGATCAAAGAGCTTGTTATACTTAGTGATGCAAGTTGTACTGGTCATCAAGACAGATAACGGTCACAAGCAAATAAAAAGGTTAAATACAAAGTATGAGAAAAAAATTGAATACATTTTAATATCTCAAAAACGCTGGGAAATGCAATATTCATGGTGGAAAATTGTTGTTTATGGAATGTCTTTGTTGAACAAATTTCGATGAATTAACAAACAGATAAATTACATTAACAGTAACAAATTGTAAACATTTTACAATTATTAACAGAAGTATTTTTGTTAACTAAAACTATTGTGCAATATTTACAATTTCGAATTTTTTAATTACAAAAAATTAATTACAAAGAAAAAAATTGTCTAATTCTACCATATAAAATCTGATTATTGCTTTGGTTATTATATTGAAAATATATATCCCTCTGTATTAAAGAAACAAGTATATCCACCTTAAACATTTGATAAATGAATTATCTTTGGGTAACATTAAAAACTTCTTATGGTTGTAAAAACATGAAAAACTATGTGTTGTAGATGTACAACCCAAGTCTAACAACTGCCAGGTACATTCAAAATTATCCAAAAACATAGCAACATTAGCAATTTTATTTTACAGAAAATTTTTGAATGTATGTCATTTTCATTTCACTTTCTAAAATTTCACTGGTCATTAAAATCCAAAGAAAGATGGATATATCATTTTGATAATTTAAAGAACAGTAAAAAGAAAAATTTAAGAAAAATAAAATAGGTACATTTTATATTTTTTTAAAGGCAACACAACATGGATGGGGACTGGATTTTGGTATCTGAGAAGATGGATTTCTTTCGTGAGAGACATGTTGTACATAAATGGCAATGTCAAAATAACTGTACTATATGTACAGAAAAATATATATTAAATATGTACGGCAAAACAAATAATATGATATTTTGTACTATTATTTTATTTTACAGAAAATTTTTGAATGTATGTCATTTTCATTTCACTTTCTAAAATTTCACTGGTCATTAAAATCCAAAGAAAGATGGATATATCATTTTGATAATTTAAAGAACAGTAAAAAGAAAAATTTAAGAAAAATAAAATAGGTACATTGTATATTTTTTTAAAGGCAACACAACATGGATGGGGACTGGATTTTGGTATCTGAGAAGATGGATTTCTTTCGTGAGAGACATGTTGTACATAAATGGCAATGTCAAAATAACTGTACTATATGTACAGAAAAATATATATTAAATATGTACGGCAAAACAAATAATATGATATTTTGTACATGTGTATTTTAGAGTTACATATATATAGTTTAAGAGACACATTTTCTTAACATATTGCTATCAACTTCTTTTTCAATTATATATTTTAAAAAAAAGAATTTAAATAGAATTTTACAAAAATATTGAAAATTCTTTTGTCCTTTAACTTTTTTTTTTCATCTAATGTGCACTGTATAAAGATATGACATACACAGCACAATATATTATTTAAAGTAAAAAAGATTATTGTTTAATCACTAATTTTTGTGATAAAATTTTCGTGATTTGAGGGGAATTGATTTTGTGGATGAAGAAGAAACACGATACTGTTTATTGAAATTTTAACATTTTTGTGAAGTACATGTCATTGAATTTGGGGGTCTCTTTATATAAAGAAAACACCGAACATTAACCACCCAACGAAAATTAGTGATACTGTGAAATCACTAATTTTCGTTGGGGTTTAATTTCCATGGATTTTGAACCATGGAGAGACCCATGAATTCATGACCACCACGAAATGTAAACTTTCAAATGCGTTATACTCAGCACTTCCCCAAACACGAAATCCTATCCCCACAAACAAATATTTTTCCTCAAACCTCGAAAATTTGACCCCACGAAAATATGTGATTTTACAGTAAATCAATATTTGAAAATAAGTAACGAAGAACATTAACATATTATTGCAAACATTGTTCATTTCATAAATGTAAATATAAATAGCACGTCAGATAAATTTTAACTAAAATAAACACTAAAACAATCAAATTGTTCACATTGTAAATGCAGGTATACTTATACAATAACTTCACATTCAATGGCTCATTTCATTTTCGATCAATTCTGTGGCTTTCATCAAGAACTTGAGATCATTATGGCACACAAAAAAACATTCAAGACAGCAACACTTATACATGTAGATAGAATCAACTTGCAAAATGTAAGAGGTACATGTAATTGCTATAAATTTAATTTTTATGACTAAATAATTTCTTAAGAAATCTATATTTCATTCGTAAACTTTAACATCATCTGGTTTCATTTCAAAGTAAGGAGATCTTGATCCTACTAGAAAAATAGTTGTTTCTTTGAAGAAGAAGCTGAAAAACCAACAGAAAATAATTAGTGTGGAGAGTTTTTATTGAAGGTGTGGATGTCAACAATAAATCAATCACATGTATTTTATTTATAATTGATGCTATGAACTATTAATTAAGAAATAGAAATAAATTTTTGACAAAATTTAACTGAGCAACAACATTCCTATCAACTGGAATGGCTGCTTTGTACAAAATTTCTCAGTAAGATAAGCATAAATAAGTGTAGTGCATAAAAAAATGTTCACACAAGAAGTACAATGTAAAGTTAAAACTGCATTTCTTGCCTATACTGTCATTATGAGTAAGGCAAAGGTCTTGCAAATGTACATGTAATATACATGTATGTGAACACGAAAGTTTAAGATGGGAAATTTGAAAATTTGTTATGAAACATTATTTGTTAAAACTTTTTTTTTATAAATAGCTATCAGTTTAATATCATTATTAACAATGCATATATATGTAAAAATTTGCATCTTATTATTGCTTAATGGGTCAAACAAGCAAATTCAAAGAATTGTAGTCCATTGCTTTCAGTGTCTTCATGGTTGGGATGCAATTATTTATGGCCAATTGTAACTGCTTTGTTTGTGTATCCTGTCTTGTCTGTCAATCATACAAAAAAAAAAAAAAAAATAAAATAGTGAATTAATAAAAATTATGCCAAAGATTAAAGATTCTCAAAACTGCATGAAACTTCAAGATCAAGGTCATGAGGTCAAATATCATAATTCAATCTGAAAGGTCTTGTCACAAGTCATGTGCATGAGTTAAAAAAACATCTGGAAACGTCTTTTCACATGTGTAATACACATGTCAAATATGAACAACCTATCTTCTATTATTCAAAAGTTATAAGCAATATTTAAATTTTTGAAAAGTAGGTCAAATTTCAAGGTCACTGGGTCAAAAATCATAGTATATTTGGATATTTGGAAAGTTCTTGTCACTGGCTATATACATGTGAAATATAGAAGCCCTGTCTCCTCTCATTAAAATTTAAAGGTATGAATAATGTAAAAGTAATGTAAAAATTTTTGAAAAGTAAGTCAAACTTCAAGGTTAAGGTCATGGGGTCAAAAATCTTAGTATATTTGGAAAGGTCTTGTCACAGGTAATGTACAGGTGAAATATGAAAGCCCTATCTTTTCTCATTCAAACGTTATGACCAAGGTTAAAGTTTTTGTGACAGATACACTGATAAATGAATAAGATTTAATGTCCCCTTGCTTTCAAAAGAACTGGGGACAAAAATCCTATAAATGCTTCTGAACTGCTAAAAAGTAATTTTGGCATAATATAAGTCATAACAGACTGCTATGAATTATGATGGGTTACGTATGTGTGCTAATAGTTTCTTTGAATGGACTCACCGTATAGATTCTTTGTGAAGACCTTTCAAGGGTTTCTCAGGTGCAGAATATAGTCCAAAGCATTTGCATAATTTATGAAATACTGTTCTCTTGGAGTCTTTATCAGCAAAATATATCACAAAACTCCCACTGAAATAAATACTTCATGTATCAGCTGTGTATTTTCTCTTTAAGTCCAAGCAATAATTACAATAATAGTAGTACATGTAAATGCACATTGTAACAGCAAATATTAGCCATTTTTGCTTACAGAAAAATATTTAAACCAATGGAAACCTTTGCACCTTGCCATGAGTAAAAGTGTCACACTGGGATGTTAAATTTTAACTCACCCTTTTGAAGGAACTTCCAATGAATCTCCTTTACTACCACACTTTTTCAGTTCTTCGTGAGGAAAATGTTTACTAGATTTAATTTCTTTTTTCATCTCTTGCTCATATTCTGTAGATTTCAATGAATCCACATTCTTTAACTTTACATTTTCCTCTCTGAAAACATGCACAAGAATATTTCAGACAATTTGACAAAGATATGGTATTTAGTAAGTCAGTATAAGTTGTTATGTTTCATAGAACAGTCAAGATTGATGTTTCTAATTACAGGAAAAAACTTCTCAGCAACTGCTCACTAGGCAAATTATAAGTGTGTTTTACAAAATTTCAAAAGTATGGCTTTCTGTATAAAGGTTACTTACGTAATAGTTAATCTTGGCTTGTAAAATAAGTTTTCTAAGTAGTTATTTGCATCGTTAGAGGATTGATAAGGCAGTCTGAACACCCGCGACACATCTGGTACAAGCATTTCTCCTGGAGTTTTCAGAGTCCAGGAATCCCAAGACCTATAATTATCAGTTCATAAATAATAAAAAAGTATTTTCTAATTTCCATTTTATCTACAGTATACACTCATGTACATGTATGACATAATCAAAACTGAGTAAATGTTGAAATGAACCTTTTATTGCAACATTTCTCCATTGCACTCTTCATCTGGGATTCAAACACGGAACGTTTAAGAAGGAATGCTAATCCTGGGAAGTCCTCCACTCTGTTCACTCGGCTATGATCTCCGGACGTGGTCTCAAACCCTGAAGAATCACTGTCACTTAAATCAGGCAATAACATGTGTAACATTATTACTATACTACACGTTTTACTGTACTATTGTTGGCCTTGTAAATAGTCTTCTGTCTTTGATGTTTTATATACATATGTCAGGGTGACTAAATATTTAAGGAATGAATTTAATAGCTACCCAAGTTATACTGGTAAAACCTGGGTTGGAACAGTTTACGCTTTTTTATAAACCAAGACAGTTTACGCTTTTTTATAAACTGTGAAGCAATTTATAAAAAGCGTAAACTGTTCCTACCCAGTATATACCAGTATAACTTGAGTAGCTATTAAATTCATTCCATATAATTTAATTTTCCATCATTAAGTGTAAAAAATATAAGAATTTCTCCTTCAAAAATGCCTTTAAATTGTACATATTTTAAATGTAACGTCAAGCAGATTGATACGTTTTTGACATAAGTCATTGTGACATACATTATGTAGGCAACCCAGGTTATACAATATATTTTATCCAGTCAAATGACGCATTACAACCAAATTTAAATCATTCAAATTTGTCTTGCTCATAATTATACTCTTCTATTTCTTCATAGAAAAAATGCAAGGTTTTTATATCTGTCTTATAGGCATCAGAGTAAAATTCTGATTAAACTATTGAAAACTAGAGGTATACGAGCACTGAGCTCACAAAATTATACCCCCACTCCCATATAAGTTTAATGGCAAAGTCCATTTCTTGGTACAGAAAACCCAAAATATTGGGGGGTTTAAACAAATTGGGGAAATGCTTACTCCTGTCCAGCATGCTAGAGATTAACAGCAAGAGACTTTTGACTTGGTGCCACCTATATAAGGGACGAAATGCGTATAATTTAGGGAAATGCTTTTAAATTGTCTTAGAAATGAACATCATCAAGCTATGATATGTTAATATTAGTAAGCAAAATCTTTTAGACTTGAGTAGGTACATGCAACTGGGATTGGTTCAAATTTGAAAATAATCAATAATCAATTTTTCTTTTTCACAATTTAATTTTTTTTTTTTTTTTTTTTTTTTTACATATTATTGTTTTCTGTATATCTTTTTTTATTTAGTTACTATTTTCTAATAGATTTTACTAGTATATATATATAAAAAATATTAACATGTAATGGTTACCACTTTTAAATATTAAATAATTTTTTATAGAAAAAAATTACACTTAAAGTATTTACTTGACTTTCCTTTCCCTGTTTTCCAAGATATTTATATTATAAATTTAATAACAGTAAATTTCAGTCTCCAAAGTATTTTTTACGCTAAAAAAATATTTTAAAAAATCGTATAAAATAATTCATGACCCTATGAAAGTCTTTCAACACTGAAATCAATTTCAAAAGAGATGTTTCAATAATCCAGTAAATAAAATTTTGATGTAGTATACCTCCTTAATCTGTTACATGCAAATACATTTTTGAATGTCATCTTACCATTGTAATTAAATGCTGAGATTCCAAACAAACTCTCATCAGCCTCCAGAGCAGGGAGACACTGTGACATAAAGTCTAAGAAATCAGGGGTTAGTACTATTTCCTCCTCAATTACAATGACATATTTCTGTGAAAAAAAAAACAACTTAAAAGTTTGTTATTAGTACAATTTTTGATGGAAAAGCAAATTCATAAAAAGATAATTAATATTCAACATTAAAAACAAGAAGTGTAAATGTATAAATCTGCACATGTTCTGTGTGATCTTGTTCTACTAGTCCTACACTTTCTGTTTGAGCTACTTCTACTTACACTTTCGGTTTGATCTATTTCTACTTATACTTTCTGTTTGATCTGGTTTTACTTACACTTTCTCTTTGATCTGGTTCTTCTTACACTTTCTGTTTGATCTATTTCTACTTGCACTTTCTCTTTGATCTGGTTCTTCTCAAACTTTCTGTTTGATCTTGTTTTATTTATACTTTCTTGTTCATCTGGTTCTTTTGGTACTTTTACTTTCTGTTTGATCTATTTCTACTTATACTTTCTGTTTGATCTGGTTTTGCTTATACTTTCTGTTCCATCTGTTTCTACTTACACTTTCTGTTTAATCTGGTTCTACTTACACTTTCTGTTTAATCTGGTTCTACTTACACTTTCTGTTTAATCTGGTTCTACTTACACTTTCTGTTTGTAGGATTTCTTTTTCAAGGGCACTATTCATCTTATCTATATGTATAAGACAAACATCTCTGAGTCAGTATAAATACATACTGGTATTGATTAAATATCCTTTTCATGTGTCATGGTTGTTATTTCATAAAACAGAACATGATGATACAACTTAAAATTTACATTAATTGTTCATTGGTAAATTTGATTACTGTATATGATTTTTAATTGAATTCAGCTTTACCTACTACAGTGAACCTTTCTAATCAGAAATGCACTCCGAGACAAATTTAGACAGGGTGTTGGATTGCACAGTGTAAAAAATATTTTAAAAAAAACTGTATTTTGAATACATTTTATATATTGATACATGTAATGAATGCTCTGAAAATACACATGAACAAGAATAACATGTGCATTTCACAATTCATAATAGGATTCTCTGATAAAATATGCAAATTATAATTACATGTACATAAATGAAATATATCTGAAAACTAGTCAAAATATTACAGAAATTGCAACACTTAATTTTATACCTTCATATCTTGGTAGAGTTCCGAGACTAAAGTTTTGGAATTTAAATAAAGCTGCCAGTTCTCCATGATCTGGACTTTGCTCATCAACAACTACCTGTAACAGGTATCATATATAAAAATATCACTCAATCATAAACACACAAAGTATCCATTTACATGTCTCTGTTATTTTGTTCATATATACATGCATGATAGTTCCTTAATCAAAAATTAAAATTCAACCTCCAAGAGAAGGAAATAAAGAAAAAAAAACATTTCTTTTAATCATTTTATCTTTACCTTTTTTTCTAACATGTAAATATCCCATTCATATGTCTTTTGACGTAAATGACTGACAAGAATATCCTCCTTATACAATAACATGATTATAATTTATTTAGTATTACATGTATAACAGATATTGTGTACACAGACGTGTGCTAGAGAAGGTGAGATGTTATACACACTGTGACAAGTTCAGGGTGGACACCAGGAATACTGTGAGTGGTCTCTAATAATCTCGCCAAGGCATTATGATCTAAACCTAAAACAATTACAAGCCATACAAGTAACGATTTTTATTGATTTCTGTCTGGACACATACAAAAAAAATTAATGTCTAAAATCTAGTTTAGTCTGACAAAAAAAAAATTCAGATTAGAATTCAGATTACATGAATGAGTTAGATACAAAACATTACATACAACATTGAGATTAGTGTATTAAACAGGATTTTAATTTGAAAAAAAATTAATTCAAAAAGTTTTAAGAAGTATGAATTCGGAATTGTTGAAATCATTTTCTGATTCTTTTCTTTTCAAGAGTTGCAAGGTAGTACATGTATTATAATACTTGTATTGTCTATATCTTAAATAGTTCATTCAGATTTAATGTTTCCAATCTACAGGAATGTGCTCTACATGTTTAATATTACAAGTAAGTCAGTAATTTATGTTGACTGCCTCAGCCACGCAGTTTGTGAAATTGCTTAGTTATGCAGTTTAGAATTAAAGCATTAAACTGAATAGACACATTTCTACTATGAGTGTCCAGAGCATGGAGAGTACAAAACTGATTTTTTTTATACGTAAAAATTCATTTCTACTGATACTTGAAATGGTTTTTTCTCCTTTTTTCAAAATTCAGATAAAAAATAATAGTCCAATATTAGCTTTACTTTCATTAAAAGTTCCACTCTATGATTAGTGTATAAAGCATGGACCATTAACCACCTGAATGAACAAAGCATTATACAGACAGCTACAGAGAATGTATTATAGGTGTAATAGACAGGTAATGTGATTCCTCACCTGGAATGATAAGAATGGGGGTTTTGTATATCACGTCTTTTGCCTTGGACTTGTCTTGGAGAGGAACCGTCTTCAGCAGCTCATCTACTCTCTGAACTGGAATTTAGATCGAAATTTCATTCCATCAAATATATTTTACACAATCCTTTGCTTGATTATCTATCATATGAAAGTTACTTGAATTACTGATATATTTTTTTTTTGAAAGAAACTTTCATAGTTTTGATTTGAAATCTTTTGAAAGATTTTGAAAATCTAAAAAAACTAAATCCAAAAACTAACCATCACAGAATTCACTGTAACCATCATACTTCTTACAGAATTCTCTTCTCTCCATATTGCGATTTGTACTTATAATGGGAGCAACTTTAACACCTTTGACTAATAAAACAAAAGATTATAAAACATGTTGAAAATAAATCTTAAAAATTATTCTAATGATGTGTTTGTGTAAATATAAAAAAAAAAAACACCTATTCTTTAAGAATCTGAATTCAGTGTTTACTACCACATGAACACATGATAACGGTATAAGCAGATGCCATCAAAGTATAAAGTACATGTTATATACAGAATACTGTAAGTCAGCTTTAATATGCAGACAAGAAATATTTCTAAGTTCTAGATCTGAGACAACACTAGCCAGTGGATATTTATGGTCACACAACAGGCAATTCATGTGAATGTGAAGTGTATGCAAGTACTTTTACAGCTTACAGTATCTTGATCAATGTTTTGAAATGGTCAAATAATAATAATTTGTATATTATTATTTTATTACATTTTCAACAGTGAAATACTGTGATTTATTAATTGAATAAAAGTAATATTCTCTCACAGCGTGAAAGGATACCAAAATGATATTCTCTCACAGTGTGAAAGGATATCAAAGTAAGTAAAAAATAATTTCTGGCCTGTCATAAGATATAGTAACTAACCATCTTGGTAGAGCTAAAACTGAAAATTTCTTCCCAAATATGTGGCTAAAATCCATGCGAAGTAATGTTTTTCAATCTCACAACTGCTAAGCTATGATGTTTCAACCGCTCAACTATGACGTCAAGCTATGACACTGTGTTAAGAGAAGACAGAGGCAAAGGGAAAATCAAAGAAAATGTAATAAACAGAAAATTCAATGTTTTGTAGATGAATATGGCATTTATTTCACTCGTGAGACAGGATTTTTTAATATTTTCACTCGTGCTTCGCACTCGTGAAAATATCAAAAAATCCTGTCCCACTCGTGAAATAAATGCCATATTCATCTACAAAACATTGAATATCCTCTATATATTATATTTATTCTTGTTTATGTACATGCATTTAGAAACAAAATATACAATACTGTATGCAATACTTACAGTCCCTTGGAAGACAAATGGATTTCTTGATTTGTGTTGGCCAATCTCCATCATAGGTAGCAAAGCTGATCTGCATGTAATAGAATAAAGTAGTTACAAAAAATGAGAGAATCTAATTAAATTCAGGCTTCCTAGATGAACTCTGCATAAGAAATGTAAAACTTCTCATGAGTTTTTACAATCAAGTCTACAAATCAATAAAATACAATTACTTCATTCAGTTCTATAAATCTTTGGACTGATGTTTTTTCTGACCAACGAAATCATTTACCCCTTGCAGAAATTCAAATTCATACAACTTTCTAACCAACATAATCATTTACACTTTCTAATTCTGAGTAATCCATGGATTTCTTTCCTACCAATAAAGTGCCTATTCCAGTTCTGTTTTTATGCCTCTTTGACCAAAACACTTATACAAGTATGTAATTTCTGATGATAGGCTTTTCTATTAAATTAATGTGGTTATATATATAGTTATCTGACACTTCAATCCCAGTAAATCTAAAATTTTAGAGCACTTACTTTCAAGAATTATGTAAATCAGAACAATGAAAATACTTCAAATATAATAATAATAATATTATATTTGCATAGTCATTTAAACTTCTGCACTTAGATAACTAATGAAATCACTTACTTCCTCCAGCTCTGTAAATCCCTGGATGCCCTTCTGACCAATGAAGTACCAGACATCTCTAAATCTAAGGTTTTGTATTGCACTGCTGCCTAATGCATTGAGTTCCTTTATAGCACCTTCTTCTAATCTAATTAGGGGGAAAGGTTTAATTATTATACCTGATACATGTACATTTGAAATAAATACAATGTACATGTAAATATATTATGATTTACTAAAACACAGTAAACTGTAATAATACAAAATGTGGTTCTTAAGATTTTCAAATGTGTTGCCCTTCATACATATATGGCAACTTAACAAATTCTTTTTCTTATGAATGTCAATTTTCATATGGAACTTTACTCCATTGTTTTGACCCCAACATAGTTTACAGTATGAGGCCAAGCTTTTGGCAAACCTTAATCTACATTTGGTTACTTGCAAATCAATACTAGAAATCTGACCAGTCAGCAAGGGCCCCGCCAAGGGTTAGAAATATAAGGGTGCAGATTAGGGGATGAGAATTTTACTTGATTCCAAAAAATTTCAAAATATATAAAGAATAAGCAACAACAATTGCTAAATATCCAACAATCTGTAAATAGTATCCTTGTATTTACATAAGGCAGTAAAAAACATCATATCTATAATAACTCAATTAAATGTACATTTAAAAATGAATGAAGCATGTGTTTTCTAAAATGCCAGCCTTCAGTGAATGCAAATATCACCCAGGCTTGACCTTAACTTCAAAACAAATATCAGTTGCAGACAAAGGTGTTAATTAATCTTAAAGTGACAGAAAGATAACCCTCTAAAATATTCTACAAACCAGCAAGATAATCAAACCCAAGGGATTAATTATACTGCTCTCTCAACCTTTTCTTCTAAGGTTACAATAAGAACTTTTTCAGCAATGATAGAATGAGGTTATTAACTGAATACCTGTTAAAAATAATTAGCATTCTTGAATTTACATAAGGCAGAAAAAAAGAAAAAAAAAAGAAAAAAGAAAATAATAATAAAAATGATATCTTTATCTATATCTTGTTTTTGGAATTCAATAAAATCATCACTCATTGTGTATTTTAACAAAATAAAGTATGAACATTATTTAAATCCACATTTCAGAGAATGTAAACATCATTCAGAATTGACCTTAACTTCAAAACAAACTTCATTTGCAGACAGAGGTGTTAATTAATTTCAATGTGGCAGAATTGATTACTATAGGGCACCCGCAAATCCTTGCGGGGCCCTAATAACTTACTGGACATGCAATCCTGCTTTATGGAGTAGATCTATGAGTTTATGAAAACAATAAATTTATTGTGACTTACATATTCCTATTAAACTTTTACCCACTATTGACTAGTACATGTATACCAGTATGTTCAAACCAGGGCCCTAGGGGCTCTGGTTGGATTTAAATAAGAGGCCCAAGTTTCATTTGGGAATATAGAATGAACTGATGCTTCTGTTTTACAAATATTGTGAATAACAGCGACCCTGCTATTTTGAGAAAATAAAATGAAAGCTTTTTCAAATATATTAAATACTTGTATAACTGGGAGATATTTTGTAGACAGACAGACACATTCACTTTTTAATCAGAACACCTTACTTGAGACTTTGATAAGCTATTAAAAAAAAAAAGATGGAACATGCCCGATGCTTTTGGGCACATTTACACGTGCATTTATTTGATAATGTCAGAGGGAAACAGAAATTATAACAGAGACTCACTTTCTAGCTGCATCATCACTGATGACACCAATAACAATGTCACCCTCATTCAACTGTTTCAAAAAGGTCTCCAAGCTTGTGCTATCTACAAATTTAAAGTAAAAATATTCAAAGTCACATCTTTACTCTACAATGAAGCCTAAACATTCTCCAAAAAGTCAAAAGTAAGACTAAAAAGCTGACATCAATTATACCTTACTCTTACAAACTGACAAATATATGACTGTCGTCATGAGAAAAGGGCCCTTATCTTTTGACGTCACAATGCTCAGAAAACGACGTCAAAGTCGCGGTGTAAACACGGAAGTAATTTTTGTCGGCTGCGTTTCGTGAACAAGAAATAAAATTGGATTTCCAGGTGAAATAAAAAAAAAATTATATGAGAATTGATGCGGAAATTTGTAATAAATATTATTATTATTATTATTACTTAGTACATGTATTTAATCATAATTCTGTTTATTAATAAGCATTTTACTCGATATTGCATAATTAATCTAAATGAAATAATGAACACATTGTTTGGTACAGTGATTTATAGCGATGTCTATATACTACGCATGGCTAAAAATACTGTATATTTGTTTTCCGAGCAATTTGCAAATACTTAAATTTGACTCATATGATTAAAAGGTATTCTACATGCACGTAAATATTTTTTTCCAGAGAGAGATCAAGGCGCAGATACGCGTTGCCCTTGTTTGGGTTGGATCTCTCCTCTCTCTATTGGACATCTGTGGATTTTTTTTTCTTTTTTGTTTGTTTGATTATTTGTTTGTTTGTTTGTTTTTTAATTTGTTTTTTTTTTTTTGATGCTTGATATGTTTTATAAATTGGGCTAGAGTATTAAATAGAAAAAGAATAACTTGTGTGGAATTGTAAAGAAATAAAAATGTCAACTGAATATAAACCGGTCCTAGATCTTGTCTTGACCACCCCATCCCCTTCCTTTATGATATCACTAAATCTGTCTCTAAAATAGTATGAACAAAGGCGACTTCCTTAGGAATAATTACATACTAGAAGCTTGGAAGAAGAAATATTTTTTTTTCAAGTTTATATGTGTCAAAACGATTAAGGTCATTTAAATAATTTTAAGAATGTTTGGAAACTGATCATAAATTTGACGCACGTGACGTCATTACGTTTTCAGTGAGAAACGTCAACGTAGTTTTGAATCACCTTACTAAAATGCTAATAAAATACTGAAAAAATGGGATACTTTTAAAAGTTATGTATTTTTGCATTCAGAAAGAGTCAGGCTATCAAAATTTACCAAAAAGTCAATTTGTGAAATTTTGATCTTAAGGGCCCTTTTCTCATGACGGCAGTCATATATCTAATTGCAATCTGCTATACATCACAAAATCTAGTTCAAGGGATCATATACTGTTACCACAAGTGAACTTAAATAAGGGAGTTTGCTTGTACATGTATTGTACTTGTAGGTAAATTTAACAAACTATAGTCTTGCTGTTATTGAGATTTTTTTCTTTTCAATTTTTCTTCATATTTATGTACATGTACCAGTACATTCTATCTTAATTACTAAATACTTTGTGCCAGTACATTCTTATCTAAATTATTGAATACTTGTTGTGGTATTATCTGTGCTCTTGGATTCCTAGTTTGAACAATTTTAAATCTAAACTCTTAATTGCTTATGGACAAACATTACATGTACACTGTATTGTGAAGTCATGATTTGATGGTCCAAGGACCTAGTTCTTTTAATCTCCACTCAAAAATCTTTCATACTTATTTGACAAAATACAGCATTGCTTTTATTGGAAAAAAGACTTTTTATAGATTTTTACAATATGTTTCTTGCAAGACCCTTAAGGTAATGATTTGAAGAAAAAAAAAATAGAACCCTCATTGAAGGATTTTACTCAAAATCATTGTTGACTGGGCCTAGTAATATCTTAGGAAAATATTTTGAAATTTTCTTACCCTATTTTTCACATTTCCTCAAAATTTACCACATCTTGAATTGACACATCTTACATCATGTAGGCAAAGCACTTGTGATTTTTTTAAAGGAGATGCTGATTAAATTCATAAAATTATTCACTAAAACACTTGTTTTTTACCCTTGCTGGTCTCATATGTATCAAATCTAGCCACAAGCTTTGGTTCTCTTGTATCCTTGTGTAGGACCACTATGTTGAACCCTCTTCCTGCATTGTTCAAGTCTTTTTCCATTATCCTAATAAATATAAACTTAATTTACTCCAAAATCATTGGAATTTTCAGCAGATCTAAATACATGCAAGTTTATTTGACATTTTGCAAACATATTAATGACATGCTTCCTTGTATATTACAATCTATACCAATATGCTGCATAATTCCCAAAATCAAATTATTTTCAAATTGAAAAATGATTATTTATAGAAGGATACATGTACAAGTATACATAAATTACTTATCCATCAAGTTGCTGAAATTATTGTTGGCAATAATTTTATTCCTTTTATTGTAGAATGTAAATTAAAACTCACATTTTTCCAGCCACACAGATGTGAGGCATTGAGGCGTCCATATCCCCCGTGTAAACTTGGATAGGTGTCCCGTCACATTTACTTTTCAGACCACAATTCTCTAGATCAGATCCCGGTTTTATTAAAGTCAGCTCAGCTAGAAGTTTTGTTATGTCTTCAACTGGCCCAACTACAATAGATTGTTAGCAGGTGAAAATATAAACTATAATTCTTTCTTTGTTTTCCAAGCTGCAATTTTTTCTGTATTTCCCCTAATATAGTTCATTTGGTATGCATAGTAAGCAATTAAATCCTATCCAAAGTCAGATTCAAATATCAAGTTTACAGAAAGATTGTTGCAAAAATTTATCAGGATATTCCAAAATACATGTGGACTTACGTGGTATGCGAAAACATCCCTTTTTTTCCAGTGCTGCACCGTACTGTTCATTTTCAATTTTTGGGTTGTACTGAGAAAGAAACAAAATAAATCTTCAGCTTAGTTAATAAGACATGGGCTTTAGTAGTCAATTGAGTACTGCTTTTTCTAGATACACTCCCTAAACAAGTGCTACCTTTACATTGTAAGTCAAATGCAAGTTTCTCAATTAAGCCCTCCTAAATCTGTTGGGACTTTTAAATATCTTTGACAAATCCTTGATATTCGAGATACGGAAGTTCGAGACAATGAAGTTCAACTGTACATGTACAATTAACTTTGGGCCAGGATATAAAACGCAATATTAATAGAACACTAAGCTCATTATCTTCATGCAATGTATTATATATGCTACTCTGGAGTAGAGAGGAAGGTTTTTAATTAAATAATTCAATTATAATTATTTTAAATATATGATCATATTTGTCCCATCCTGTCATGGCCATGTGGCCTCAAAAGTACCTGGACATTGAAAGGATATCTAGCATTGCTAAAATCTCAATTGTAGATGTATAATCACACAAATATGGTGTTAATATTTTTGAATGTAACAAACTCATATTTTTCATCAAATACTGAATAATAAAGGAATATTTAATATATGGATATATTGAGTTATGTATAAATGATGCTTGTTATACTTAGTTCTTAATAAGAAAATTATGTACATATGTACTCACAAACTCAATAGCATGCCCCTGCTTTAGGCCTCGTTGACCAATCAGAAGATACGATTCCCGGAATTTCACCTTTTCTACCTTACTGGCCCCCATCAGCTTCAACCATTTCTTTGCATCATCCTTCATTCTAGAAAACCACCGAAAATTAAAAAAAGGAATAGAAAAGCAGCTCCTGAAGTTGAAACTTATTAGCTATGGCAACACCAGTAAATTATTCAATTATAATTATGTGTTTATTATTTATATTATGTTCTTATAAAGTTTGGTTTACTTGCATACCAAGTTTTTTTTAAAGTCAAGCCAAAAACAGTAGGAGGGAGTAGCATTCTGAAAGAATTCCTACTATATCCTATTTATAGCAACTATAGCAACCTTTTATCTGCTACATTGACTCATTCGTTCATTGTTACTACAATTCATAAATAACATGGAAAAATTGAAGGAAATGGTAAATGGATCAAAGAAACTCTAGATGTTTGAATCGAACCTTTAGTGCCAGGAAATAAATGTTACAGTTTAGAGAAAATTATTAATGAGTTATTAATATAATTTTATCTCACGTAAAGGGCATATAAAATGTCTTGATTCGAATTCAAACTGGCTGAACAAAACCCTGAAGGCTACAATCCCATACTACATTTACACTGTACCTATCAACTGACAGACATACACATCTAAGATATGACTGAAGGAAAAAAAATAAAACAGAAAATTGCAAATGGATACCCTAAGGATTGATTACTTTATGCTGAACACAAAAGTTATAAATGTAGTGATAAATATTTTTTCAAAACATGGCAGCAAAAAAAAAACAACTTAAAAGTAACCTACGAATTGGTAATTTCATCAAAACTGGCCATGATTACCACCGTTCCATCCTTTATTCTTAACTGGACATACTGCAAGAAGGTCTGATCTGTAAAAAAATATATTATTATCCTCCACCTGAAGTATATATCATGATGTATCTTTATTTTAACATATACAATTAACATCTAGTTATATATATATAAACATGATAAAGGATCTCACATGGTTTGTGGTTGGATATGATTTTTTTATCCAACCCGTGTGCTTTTATCCCCGAGTCTTGGTAAGGGGATAAAAACACACAACAAGTTGGATAAAAAATCATATCTTACCACAAATCATGGGTGATTTCTTTTATCACATTTTACATATAGCTATTTCATGTTTTACACTGTTTTATATATGTAAATCCACAATAACTGACTTGTTCAAATTCATGCAAAAACCATTATGACATCACAACCATGGATATAAAAAAGATATCCTATGTTCTTCAAGACAGACTGGGATTAACTTAACTAGTTTAAAATACATTTACACAGTTATTAGAACTACACAGTTTCTAAATAAATATGCATGTACACAGTTATTTATGATTATTAGATAAATAATTTCATTCAATAATCAAGTAGTAACAAGTCTACACTTCATATAAACTACATGTATTACACCACACCTAATTTAGCTGTGGGAGAGAAAACATAGGTAATCAGAGATTACAGAGCTCACCTCAATGAATGTTGTCTTTAAGTAAGGCAAAGTCCCACACTAAACTAATAATCTAGTAGTATGCATCTCTAGATGCAACATTTATACAATTTTGGTCTGAAAGGGCTTGCAGTTTCTTGGGAAAGGACTTATTTTAAAACTTTAAACTAGTTACTCATCCAGAAAATGTAGGTCAAATCCAGCATCCGAAGCAAGTTTGAAAGTGTTCGTCCCTTGATGCATCATCCATGCAAGTTTGGTTCAGATAGGCCTTATAGTTTCTTGGCAAGATACCTGTTCAAAAAACTTTAACCTGGTCACTCATCAGGAAAATGTAGGTTAGATCCAGCATCCAAAGCAAGTCCAGTTGTGTGCATGTATCATCCATGCAAGTTTGATCAACATAGGACTTACATTTACTTAGAAATGAGATCTGCTCTAAAAACTTTATACTGGTCACTCATCCAGAAAATGTAGGTCAGATCCAGCATCTGAAGCAAGTCCAATAGTGTGCATCCTTAAATGTATCATCCAAACAAGTTTGATCAACATAGGACTTATAGTTACTCGAAAATGAGATCTGCTTCAAAAACTTTAACCTGGTCATTCATCCAGAAAATGTAGGTCAGATCCAGCATCTGAAGCAAGCCTGGTAGTGTGCATCCTTAGATGTACCATCCATACAAGTTTAGTCAACATAGGAGTTATAGTTACTTGGAAACAAGATCTGCTCCAAAACTTTAACCATGCTGCTCCAAAAACTTTAACTTGCTCCAAAAACATTAACCTGGTCATTCTTTAGCTGAAATTGCAGCATCTGAAACCTTGTTTCACTAGTACAATGAAACACATGGAAGCATCCTCCATGTACCGCTGATTGATATAGGTCATAGAAATACTTGAAAAGAAATCTGCTCCAAAAACTTTAACCTGGGGCGCCGAGGGTATTACATCCCCCAACTTCGTTAAAGTGAGCTAAAAAGTACACACTATTCCTTACCTTCTGAATAAGTGTCAAAGGTTTTCTGGTCAATAACTTTATGTGAATCACCTGAAAACAATTTCCTTTACATGTCACTTACACTTTAAAGTTCTTACATAATATACATGTATTAAGCATTTACATCATCATTAATATTAATGCAAACAGAATTAGTATTATCAGGTCATCAAAATTTTGCAAATGAAACTTGGCTTAATGTAAATCAAACTGCATGTAAATCATTGAAGCATAATGAAAAGAAAACTTTACCGTCAATAAATAGTACATTGAGTCCTCTTCCTACATTTTGCTTTTCATCGCTCATATATCTAAAGTGAAAATAATTCCTCTATGGAATATCCACATGCCAAAGAAATTGAAAATGATATCAGACTAATTTTTTGCATAACTAATTAAAATCCCATCAAGCTTTTTTTACTTCAACATTTGAAGTATATACATGTACCAATGTCCAGCTGCATTTCATACTTGAATTAATTTCAGTTAAACAATAAAATGCTTTTTTTTTTGTTTATGTGGGGATGATGGTTGCAACATTGCAGAAAAATACACAACCTACACAAGTGGGTTCTTTAAATTTTTTCTGCATTGATTGCAACTGTTTATCACTCCATTGTTAATGAATTGATATTTACACCCACTGAATATGTTCTCCCTTATTTCTAAAGAAAAACATTGCCGTTTATCAGTTCACGAACAACACTAGGCATATCACCTGTACAGATTTCTTGATCAGTGGCTGTTCCATCAATGAAACATACTATGACGTACATATCAAATAATACAATAATTAATCTTTTTAATACTATTTTAAATGATTATTAATACAGATATAAATATAAACAATAAAATGTCTTTCTTTGGTTGTTAGTACAGGAAATAACATCACAGCTATTGCTTAAAAAATTTCTTATGTATTTTTTCTGAACAGCTGCAACATAATTTCCGCACAAACAACCAAAGAAAGCATTTTATTGTTTAAAATAACAGCAATCAGTTTACATATAACAAATAAAGTAGAAAATATTTTGTTGATGTAGATATATTGCAATAAATTTCAAAGTGCAATTGAAAGTCTGAATTTTTTCAGAGGATCTTGCATTGAAATAGGTAAAAAAATTACTTTCAAAAGAATAAAATGAATTAACTATATGTACTACATACATGTCTCCATCGTAACAAATAGTGGGCCCCACACTTTTATCTGTCCCTGTCTTAACATAGAATGATTTCTGTCCTGGTGGACATGACACGCCACAGGCAGAACCTATAAATAGAAATCATATGCAAAATCTATAAACAAACTTCACAACATATAATTCCCATTTATAGAAATATCAAAATAAACCTATACAAATAGACCTGTAATCAATCCAAGGTAATTTTTACAATTTCGAGACTAATTAAGAACAAGACTTGAAATTAACTAAGTGTGCTTGCACCTGATATGCCAGATATTTGAAATTAAGCACTTATAACTTTTACCTAAAAGGAATACCAGGATCATGAAACAGCTTTCATTTAAAACAAAAGACGTTTGTTGCTCTGAAATGCAATCCAAAATAAAAATGATACACAAAACATTGCATCATCAAAGTGCTGCTATCAGCAAATTTAGAGTTTTGGTTTATTTTCAATAAATATCTTACAGACAATTGGAAAATTGATTTCAGTCAGCCTGTTTCATAAACCTGGCATCATGCATACATGTACATGCAAACAATGCATTCAGAAAAATTTAACTTGTTAAATAAGTGTGTATTTTCTGAAATGGATAATTTGTTCCATCAGAAAATATCCTGACATTTTGAAGATCCTACAAGTATATTATTATGAAGGAGCAAATAGCCATAATAAAGTTACAGCATCAGATCCATACAAACAACAAAAACAAGAGGCTCATGGGTCACATTGCTCACCTGAGCACTTAGGCTTAACTAGAAATATGTCCATAGGACATGAATGCCCCACCGAGGGTATATAAGTAATGCAACATTTTAACACAAATTGAGAAAAGTGAGGTCAAGGTCAAAGGAAAGGTCAAGGTGAAAAAATATTGATGCAGTTGAATAGCTTACATCAGTATGTATCAGCATATGAAGTTTGACACTAATTTAAAAAAGTGAGGTCAAGGTCAAAGGAAAGGTCAAGGTCAAAAATTGTTGCTGCAGTTGAAAAGGTTACATCAGTATGTTTTAGCATATGAAGTTCGATAAAAATATTATGAATGGTTTCTTTAAAACTGAGCTAAACACTAATTTAAGAAAAGTGAGGCCAAGGTCAAAGGAAAGGTCAAGGTCAAAAATTGTTGATGCAGTTGCAAAGGTTACATCAGTATGTATTAGCATATGAAGTTTGACACTAATTTAAGAAAAGTGAGGTCAAGGTCAAAGGAAAGGTCAAGGTCAAAAATGTTGATGCAGTTGAATAGCTCTCATCATTATGTATCAGCATATGAAGTTTGATAACACTATCTTGAATGGTATCTTTAAAACTGAGCTAAAAACTTATTTAAGAAAAGTGAGGTCAAGGTCAAAGGAAAGGTCATGGTAAAAAATATTGATGCAGTTGAATAGCTCTCATCAGTATGTATCAGCCTATGAAGTTTGTTAAAAATATCTTTAATGATTTCATTAAAACTGGGCTAAACACTAATTTAAGAAAAGTGAGGCCAAGGTCAAAAGAAAGGTCAAGGTAAAAAAATGTTGATGCAGTTGAATAGCTTACATCAGTATGTATCAACATATGAAGTTTGATTACACTATCTTGAATGGTATCTTTTAAACTGAGCTGAAAACTAATTTAAGAAAAGTGAGGTCAAGGTCAAAAGAAAGGTCAAGGTCAAAAAATGTTGATGCAGTTGCATAGCTCTCATCAATATCTATCAGCATATGAAGTTTGATAAAAATATCTTGGATAGTTTCTTTGAAACTGAGCTTTGAACAGAGCTAAACTCAAAGTGTGACGGAAGGACAGACGGAAGGACAGAAGGATGGAAGACGGACATGACAAACACTATATGCCCCGGCCATATTCATGGCGGGGCACAGAAAAGCAGAAACCAGTTCAGTATTGAAAAGATTAAATATAAAAATGGTTCAAGGGGGGGGGGGGGTATGATTTGAACAAACTTGAATCTACACTACCTAAAGATGCTTTTGAATTCATATGACACATAACAGCTTTGCTTTTCTTAAGAAGATTTTTTATTGATATATCCTTTAAATTCCTTTGTATAACTGTAATCCCCTGTTATGGCCCCTCTATACTCCTGGGGGGTCATGATTTGAACAAATTTAAAGGCCGAGGTTTTCAACCGGTCGGTTTTCCTCAGGTAAATTTGGTGTGGGGTGGAGCTTAATTGACACGGCCGTGAAGCCCCGAGGAAACCAAGCTGGCTTGTATATACCTATCTATATACACAGGATGTTACCTGTATATTACCTGTAAATATTTTACTAAGACATATAGTTTAACTTCGCGCGTTGGTCAATCGAAATGTTGATCGTCAAATTTATGAAATATAACATGCTAAATTTTTTATGTAGACTGATTCCTTTAGTTCAATTCTTTTTCTTAAAAAATATGTTCGAATAAAGGAGACAATTTTAGTTTAATTTTGTGCGTTAATAAATTTCAAATCTTTGGTTGTAAGCTGGCGACACCGAGGGAAATAGTCATTCGCAAAACGAAAGTAGAAAAAAGCGCGGTCCTGAATAATTAAGTCTCTTAAACTTTGAAATCCTGTTTGAAGGCTAATTTTTGTAGAAAATATATAATAAATTAAATAAATATTTTTTTGTATAACTCCTAAGTGATTAACCAATGACGCATGGATGTTTCGTAAAAATGGTCATGGCATCGTATATTGTTTCTCCGACAGGTAGACGAAACAGGAATACAATCACTTTATCATACATGTACTTTTTTCCTCGGGATCCATAATTCTAAACTTGTATATGCAATGACAGCTTTTATAATACTGTTTATTTCTCTTTAAAACTGGTTATTTTACCGTAACTTTCATCACCATGTCTCGAAGAAATATTACACGTCTTAAAATTTTTAACTTGGACAATATGACTATATATATGACTGACATTCTTTTTCACTTATTTAATTATTTGACAGACTGATTAAATATAAATTAAATATGGCTAATTACTTTATCATTAAAAAAAATAATATCAGCTCTGGCTGCTTCTTTATCACGATGTTATAAATTATATGCGGTAGGCATCAAAGACTGAATGTTAATTCAATGATCGGTACGATCCCCAGGCAAGGTATACAAGATATACACAACGGCAGGTAACAATATGTCAATCAATTTTCAGTATCCAATCTCAGGCTTAATTTCATCTGATTGACAGGGGTTCACAGACCAGGTAAAATTGAGGGAGGTGCTTATTTCCTCCCCCTTTAAGCTTACATTACCTGAGGATGCTTTTATATTATTATGACCAATCATGGCTTTGCTGGGTCATCATTTGTACAAACTTGAATCTACACTACTGAGGGTGCTTCCATAAAAAAATGACTAATCATGGCTTTGCTGTTCTTGACAAGAAGATTTTTAGAGATTTTTCCTATGTATTCCTACGTAAAACGTTGACTTGAACAAACCTGATTCTACATTACCAAAGGATGCTTCCATATAAATACTGGTATGACCAATCATGGCTTTGTTGTTCTCAACAAGAAGATTTTTAAAAATTTTCCCTATGTATTCCCTATGTAAAACTTTGATCCCCCCTTGAGCCCCCCACCCACTCATCCACCCACTCCCCACCTGGGGGTCATGATTTGAAAAAAAAAAAAATTGAATCTACACTACCTCACAATTATTCCACATAGGTTTCCTATTTTCTAGCACAGTGGTTCTTGAGAAGATTTTTAAATGATGCCATTAATTTTTCACGAATTTGTAATTATCTCCCCTTTGAAAAAGGTGTGGCCCTTCATTTGAACAAACTTTAATCCCCTTTACCCAAGCATACATTGTGGCAAGTTTGGCTGAAATTGGCACAGTGGTTCTGGAGAAGAAGAAACACAACGATGGCAACAGACAAAGGACAAATTTTGATCAGAAACCTCAGGTCAGGTGAGCTAAAAAAAACTCCTGTATGATATAAAATTAACTTACTTTCTTTTCATTAAATAAATAAGTGACAAAAATCAATAAAAGAAAACAAGAAGATGTATTTGTGAAACACTATGCCCCCGATGGTAACACAATTCTGGAGTGGGACGTAGACTGAAGTGGTATACACTTGTAAGATGTTTTAAGGGTAGCAAAGGTGAAAATACTGAAGACCTTTTGTTTTAAAAATAGTATTGTGTTATGGTTAATCGAAAATTTGGGTACCAACTGGAAAATCACACATGCCAAATATTAAAGCATTACCTGTGATGGTGCAATAGTTATGGGCTACAGTGCAATAGTTATGGCCAATGTTCAAGTTTTTCAAATGCAGGTCAAAGGTCACAGTTGAGGTCACATGATCAAAACTTTCTGTATCAATGGAAAGGTCTTGTCATAATTAACATTCATGTCAAATATCAAAGCCTTACCCTTGACAGCGCAATAGTTATGGGCTAGGTTAAAGTTGACAACAGACAGAGGGACAAACAGACAAACAGACAGACAGGACAAAAACAATATACCCCCAGGATCTTTTGATCCTGGGGCATAATAAATACAATATTAATAGCTAAATAATTAAATAAATAAAGAACATATCAGGGAAAGATTAGAGGTTATTTGCTTTCTGCTTCAATACCAGACTGAGCGTCCTTCACATCGTTGGCATCCCACACTCTGGATTCCACAGGAAGGGTACCTAGACAACACAAGAATTTAGGGCGGTTTAACACAACTTCATTAACCTTTCTAGCAGGCTTGAAAAACACCTTGAATGTATTAAGAACAACACAGAGATTTAAGAATCTTTTATACAAAATGAATGCAACTGTAAGAGGTTCAAGCAATGCTAAAAGGGCCTGCATAACTGAATTTTGATGACAGTGTTATCTGCAGCAATTAATTTTAGGTGATCTTGCTGAACCTCTTTTAAAACAACCCTCAATAAAACAATATTTTTCCCCTGCTATCTTTTGGATCTACCGGTATATCTCTATCTTTTGTTATCCATGGATTTCACCATTGGGGCTCCATTATTAATACATTGAATTTCAAGGTTGTTTCTCTGTTAGGTTGTAAAGGCCCAAGACATTTAGATTGTTTGGTTTTTGGTTAATAAGCAATGTCACAAACATAAAAAAAACTTTACAAAGAGTAGGTCGTATTATTTACATTACATGTCACTGTTATATCACACAGTTGTGCAAATGGCAAATAAAGAACCGAGTAATGATTTCATATTTCAGAAAATGCAAAAAATAAAACTGCACAAAATTTACTGATTATGACATGGATGACAACTACTGTTTAAAAATAGCTCCATCATTTACTGCAAACCAGTTATACAGTAGCTACAAACCTTTCCGATCTTTATGGTGAAAATGGAGAAGTAAGAGCGATACAGCTATTGCAATTAGAATCCATATTGCAAGGGGCTTACATCCTATCACAAAAACAAGAAATCCATGTTAAAAAAAGTATCAGAAAATAAGAAAAAATTAAACAGAAGTTCAGACCTTTTTTTAAAAAAAAAAAATCGAAATATCATAACACATTTCAGTGATTTAACTCTTTGAATAAACATGACAAAATTAATTTGCTTATGATCTAATTTACATTTACAATTAATTACAATGATTACATGATCTTGAATTTACTTGTTCATATGCTTAAAAATGGTTTTGTATTATAAGATACCAATTGTACATGTATAGATCTATACCTTTAAATACAGTCAACATGGTCAAGAACATACAACACAAAGTTCCTTTTATCTCTGATTTCATCCTTAGGTATGAAAAGATATATTGACCTTTCCTTGACAAAAATTGACCTTTCCTTGACAAAAAATTGAAAGGTCGCTAGGGTAGCATAAGGTATCTTTGTTGGTATATAACTGATTTTGCCCTTTAGCAAATTAGATCATATTTAGATGAGAATAATTCCTTAGAAATTGCTGTGCATGGATTAACTCCCCTTTTGCCACAGTCAAGTTCGCTTATCCCTGCTTTGAAAGCTAGTTCCTTATTATCCATAATCCTCTAGATTTTACATCTAAACATAGATCCATTCGTTAGTCAAGTGAACTAATCCCTATGTCAAAAGCTAATTCCCAGTTACCTATATATTCCTCTAGATTTTACTTTGACTGAAGAATAAACATCTGTTCATGATTTTTTTTTTTAAAAAGCTGATATTTACAATTATATTTGTATTCGTATAATAAAACAGTTAAAAAGTACCAGGGTATATCATTGATTGAGTGAATTTGGAAGGTTTTTCATCAGCATATACAACTATAGATGCTGGGGTGCCTCAAGGGTCTGTACTTGGTCCCTTCCTGTTTTTGTTATACATAAATGATGTAACTAATGATATATCAAGTAATATTCGACTGTTTGCTGATGATACTTCTTTGTTTGCTATTATAGACAATGATATTACTAATACAACAATGTCCCTTACTCAAGATCTTGAAAAAATTAGAAATTGGTCCAAGGCTTGGGCTGTTGATTTTAATAGTGAAAAAACTGTTAATGTTGATTTTACAAGAAAAAACTTAAGTTATCCTGGCATTCAATTTGGTTATGGAGGTGATTATATAAAACAATCAAAAACTCATGTTCATTTAGGGATACAATTTCAGGCAGATGGTTCTTGGAATAATCATATGTCTAATATATATGAAAAGGCATGTAAAAGATTGAATATACTTAGGTTATTGAAACATAGTATAGATAGAAATTCACTAATAAAAATTTATTTTGCTTTCATAAGACCAATTTTAGAATATGCAGATATTGTGTGGGATAATTGTACCCAAAGTAATGCAGAATTGCTTGAAAAAGTTCAGATAGAAGCTGCCAGAATTATTACTGGACTAAGAGTTAATTCTTCCAGAACTTGCTTGTATGATGAACTAGGATGGGAACCATTATATCTTAGAAGAGAAAAACACAAACTTATATTGATGTATAAAATGATTAATGGTTCTGCACCTGATTATTTGTATGAATTGATTCAACCTTTTTTTCCAGTTCCACATGCATACAACCTAAGGTCTGGATGTAATAACTTGTGTATACCAGTTTGTAAAACAATGTCTTACTATAATAGTTTTATTCCCTCAACTATAAAACTTTGGAATAGTCTTAGTGAGGATATCAAAAACTCTTCATCATTATCTATCTTTAAAGCAAAGCTTAAAAGTTGGGGAGTAACTAATAAACCATGTAGGTACTTTAACTTTGGTAATAGAAAAGAGAATATCTTACATTGTCAGTTGCGAAACAATGCTAGCAATCTCAATGCACATTTAAAAAATCATTTTTTATCAGACGTACCATCATGTCAAAAATGTGGATTTTATACAGAGGATACTGAACATTACTTTATCAAATGTCCATCATATATTGTTCAGAGAAATTTACTGGTAAAAAAATTAAATGATATTGATGTTGTCTTTGAACTCGACACTCTGTTAAGAGGCAAAAGTCAATATTCCTATCAAACAAATTGTAAAATATTTTCATATGTACATGAATTTATAAAATCTACTAAGAGACTTAGTTGAGTACACTACAATATTAAATACTCTGTTGAATGTATATATATATACATATATTATTTTTACAATATTCATATGAAAGCTGGAACAGTATGTAAATAATTTGTATACAATTAGGGGGTTATCATTCTTTTTTTATGATACTGATGAATAATACTTGATTATGAATCTTTATTTTGTATTATTAGCAAGTTTATTACCATGTTCAAGTATTATTATTCAATGTCTATGTCTTGACCTATTATACAAGGAGAGGGTGTGCATAGGCCTTGCCTGTTGCCCAATCCTTATTGAATTACTCAATAAAATATGTTTAAATTAAATCATTGATTGAGTTAATTAGCATGATTCAAGTTCCCCTTAACTAGGACTACAGGTGTATTTCTGTCGGCTTAGCCTAGGGGGTCTAGGCCTGGTCTCGGGGAACTGGAATTTTGCTATCTCCTTTAAAGATATACTTAAACTGTATAATAATTTACCTTATTTCTTAAATGGTACAAGAGAGATACAATTTATTCAAAGTGCCCTTAAACAAAAATGAAAACTGTACCATGTCCTCTATGCATGACCATGCAACAATCGCTGCACACTGACCTCTATCTTTTAATTACTAAATATACAAATATTATTTCATATACACCATCTTTAATCTTGGGATAGTTGGGATATTCCTTTTTATTATATTTTCAACAGTGAAATACTGTGATTTATTTATTGAATAAAAGGGATATTCTCTCACAGTGTGAAAGGATACCAAAATGATATTCTCTCACAGTATGAAAGGATATCAAAGTAAGTAAAAAATAATTTCTGGCCTGTCATAAGATAGAGATAGTAGCTAACCATCTTGATAGAGCTAAAACTGCAAATTTCTCTCCAAATATGTTGCTAAAATCCATGCTATGTAATGTTTTCAATCTCACAACTGCTAAGCTATGACGTCTCAACCGCTCAACTATGAAGTCAAGCCTATGACACTGTGTTAAGAAAAGACAGAGGCAAAGGGAAAACCAAAGAAAATGTAATAAACAGAAAATTCAATGTTTTGTAGATGAATATGGAATTTATTTCACTCGTGAGACAGGATTTTTTTATATTTTCACTCGTGCTTCGCACTCATGAAAATATGAAAAAAATCCTGTCCCACTCGTGAAATAAATTCCTTATTCATCTACAAAACATTGAATATCCTCTATATCATTTACATTATATAGCATATGAAGCCAGAGTTTTTGAAATCCACTGGTCCCACTGACAAAACTGGTAAATATTTCGAAAGTCCAGTAATTTTCTCCATGTAATCAGTCCTAATGGGGATTGGGGGGGGGGGCCTTGAATTTTAAACTACCTGATGATGCTTCCATGTCAATATAACAAATGGCTTTGTTGTACTTGAGAAGATTTTTACAAATTTTCATCCCCCATTGTGGTTCCTCCCTATCCAAGGGGTCATCATTTGAACAAACTTGAATCTACACTACCTTGGGATGCTTCCATATCAATATGACTAAACATAGCTTTGCTGTTCTTGAGAAGAAATATTTCTTCTATATGTTCTTATGTAAAACTTTTGATCCCCCATTGGGCCCCACCCTACCCCCAGGGGGTCATCATTTGAATACAACTGAATTTACACTATCTGAGGATGCTTCCATATCAAAATGACTAAACATGATTTTCAGTTCTTGAGAAGAACATATTTTCCTATGTGTTCCTATGTAATATTTTCGATCCCCCATTTGGCCCCACCCTATCCCTGGGGGTCATCATTTTAACAAACTTGAATCTACACCATCTAAGGATGCTTCCATATCAAAATGACTAATAATGGCTTTGCTGTTCTACAGAAGAAGATATTTTCCTATATATTTCTATTTAAGACTTGGGATCCTCCATTGTGGCCCCACCCTACCCCCGGGGGTCATGATTTGAACAAAATGGAATCTACAATACTTGAGGATGCTTCCACATAAATATGATCAATCAGGGCTTTGCTGTTCCTAAGAAGATTTTTAAAATTTTTCCTATATATTTCTATGTAAAACTTTGATCCTCCATTGTGGCCCCACCCTATCTCCGGGGGTCATGATTTGAACAAACTTGAATCTACACTACCTGAGGATGCTTCCATATAAATATGACTCATGATGGCTTTGCTGTTCTTGAGAAGAAGATTTTTAAATGTTTTTCCTATATATTTTTATGTAAAACATTGATCTTCCATTGTGGCCCCACCCTATCCCCGGGGGTCATGATTTGAACAAACTTGAATCTACACTACCTGAAGATGCTTCCATATTAATATGACTCATGATGGCTTTGCTGTTCTTGAGAAGAAGATTTTTAAATGTTTTTCCTATATATTTCTATGTAAAACTTTGATTGTCCATTGTGGCCACACCCTACCCCTGGGGTCATGACTTGAACAAACTTGAATCTACACTACCTGAAGATGCTTCCATATAAATATGACTGATCATGGCTTTGTTGTTCTTGAGAAGAAGATTTTGAAAGGTTTTTCCTATATATTTCTATGTAAAACTTTGATTGTCCATTGTGCAACCCCCTACCCCTGGGGGTCTTGATTTGAACAAACTTGAATGTACACTACCTGAAGAAGCTTCCATATAAATATTACTCATCATGGCTTTGCTGTTCTTGAGAAGAAGATTTTTAAAGGTTTTCCCTACATATTTCTATGTAAAACTTTGACAGCGTTTTTTTTCCTTATATAACTGATACCGATAAACGGTACCATTCCCAATGCCAAATAACGTTAATTTTTCCCAATTTTGAGACTAAAAATTCCCAATTCAACTGCCAAGCAACAGACTATGATGACATCGTATTTCTTTTTATATGAAACATTGTACAAGTTGACTATAATTGTTTCACTTCCGCTGAATCGAAAGTAGAGATGTCGTAATATGGCGGGACCTGTAGACAGTGTAGTGTCATACATTTTGACAAATTGAAAGCATGAAAATGCGAAAACAAGGGATATTGATATGAAAAATAATAAATACTTGTTGTTTATTCTTTAAAACATGCAGTAATAGGTAATGAGATTGGAATAAACACAAAATACGTTTCATTTGTTTATATGAAAGAAAATTCTCCTTTGTTCTACTTCAATGCTATTTTTCCCAATTGAACCGGTACCAGACCCTTTCCCAATGGGTAGAAAAAAATCGCTGTTTGATTGTCCATTGTGGCCCCGCCCTACCCCCGGGGGTCATGATTTGAACAAATTTGAATTTACACTTATACCTAAGGATGCTTCCACATGAGTTTCATCTTTCCTGGCCCTGTGGTTCTTGAGAAGAAGATTTTTAAAAGATACTATTAAATTTTCACTAATTCTTTATTATCTCCCCTTGAAAGAGGGCGTGGCCCTTCATTTGAATAAACTCGAATCCCCTTCACCCAAGGATGCTTTGTGGCAAGTTTGGTTAAATTGGCCCAGTGGTTCTTGAGAAGAAGTCGAAAATGTGAAAAGTTTACAGACAGATGGACGGACGGACAGACAGACTACAGACAAAATGTGATCAGAAAAGCTCACTTGAGCTTTCAGCTCAGGTGAGCTAAAAAAAGAAAAAAAAAACTAAAATCAGAAATAGTGAGAGAAATTGAAGATGAAAGAGACAGGTAGTTGGAATTATTCTCTATTGTAATGTATAACTGGAATGAAAACAATTTTTCAATTTTTGAATTTTTTTTTAATTTTAGTATCTCAAATATACATGTATGCTGATGGACCAGTGGATATTTGTGTGGACCAGTGATTTTCACTAAATCAGTAAATTGTTTTTCTTTTCAAAAACTCTGTGAAGAAAATCACTTTTTAATGCATCACTACCAAGATGAATCTGTGTATATATTACTTTTTAATCTCTCCCTTTCTCACCTCCACATGACCTGTTTACAAATCTTCTTCCCCGCCTACGCATTCCAGACCTAGATTTCATTTGTCTCGCATCTCTTCACAAGGTCATGAACATACTGCAAAACAAATTCACAAGTAAATGTACTCCATACAATTTATATAGCAACTAAATTTTAATGTAAGCTAGCTGACTTGAAGCATCAGCTTTTAATCAATTACATTTTTTTTTAACTGATAAGTAATCAGACTGTATTATATTTGCCAGATTGACAAAATTTATCATTAATCATCAAATTCATCATAATGTTAAATATATACAGAAAAAATTCAGATTACAAATTAATTTCAGTAATTTGTTTAATATTATTTTCTTATTTTGATGGAAATCATTACCAGTTAAATACATAAAAAGAGCAGTTGCTAGAATTATACATGTATATGCTATGAAATCTGAAATTTCTTCTAATCTTTTTTTCTGTCAGTATGAGTATTTATTAATTTAAACAATGTTAAACACAATTTTCTATTTATAATAGTTGCCAATATTAGTTTAAATCAGTACATTTGACAAGGTACTTAAGACTCAAGTGGTTTTAAAATTTAAGTTCTTTGAAATTGTTTTCCCTAAAAAAAATTCTACTCAACTTCCCCCAGATCACTTAAAAAAATTTTAGTACGATGTAGGAGTAGACTAGCTGCAATAATGTAGCCCTCTCCGATTTTTTTTTATCTGATATTTTCTGGAGAGGGCTACAATTCCACAGCATCTCTGTAATGGTGCAAATATATTTTTTATATACGGGCGACTGCAGGCAAAATAAATTGTTTTTACATTCAACTTACTTCTAAAAAGGCGAAATTTTTATTCACTGTCAACAACATAGCCCGTTAAACGCGAAAACCAGATAAAATAAATCTGCTTGTTTACCAGTCGCTCTCATCAGAAGCCATGACGGTTCTCGCGTGATGCACTGAGACTTGCGCTTGAAAAATTGTAAAGTAGATTTTCGGGGTTACTAAATGATTGTGCTGTATGGCATCACTAAATATTGATAAATAAAACTATTCCATGTGACATTTTTTTCGTAAACAGCGATATTTATGCCTAAAATAAGGTAATTCCTACAGAGATCCGCTCCCTAGAGATCTCTAGTCTCATTGGCTGTCCCAAAATAAAATCGATCAAGGTCAGTAAACATGGCGGATAAATTCAAGTTGTGATGTTGACATACACGAAAAATAACCGATATATGGATTGTTCTGTGTATGTTTGGATTGATTTATGTTTTGCATAACTACATTTTTGGAGTTCAGGTAAGAAATGTTAATTAAATAGCCATTTACTGATAATTTAATCCGAAATCCGTGCGGGAGTGAATCACTCCCGCACTTGCACCATTACGGAGATCCTAAGGAGTTGTAGCCCTCTCCCCCCCCCCCCCAAAAAAAAAAATCGGGAGAGGGCTACATTATTGCAGCTAGAGTAGACCAGTGGTGGGCCTCTGTGTCTCTAGTTCTTTGTATCGAAGTTGTTTTTTTTTTTTTTTTTGCTTCAAGATTTAAAAATCTGAAACTTCAAGTGGAACCAATAATGAAAGAACAATACATGTAACCTGAGAGATCCATGCATGTTGTGTGTAATGATAATAGTGTGTACACAAAAAGTATTCAAAAGACAATTTGTTGGCCAATGGGTATCTTAGTTTGTAAACAAACACGAGCTGTCTAATCACTAAAGGTTTTATTCTTACCTTACTTCAACTGGCAATTAAATCAGATGTGCATTGCAACACATAAAAAAATATATTTATTTTGTCTGCACTTCAAAACTAACACGAGATTCACGAACCAGCCCGGTTATCATTGTTCCGCCTCGCTTGTATCGGAAATCATTATGAATGCAATAATAGCCTGAAAACTTTGGATCAAACTGAAATGTTCCGGATTACAAAGAAAAAAATCTTGAGCTGAAAATTATTTAAATCCTCAAATTGATTGTTTAATTAATATTTTGATTATTTTATTTTGCCATTAACCATTTTGTAAAAGAAATTGATGAATATGAAGCACTCTTACATTTCGATGTACATGAAAACAGGAATATTCTAGGGCCATGTATGCAAAGGCCAAGACACCTTTAGAAGGTTAAGACCCAGCAAGGACCTATTTATATACTTAATTAATGGGTTCCTGTGGACTCAGTTGTTTTCGGAGTACATACATGTTACAATGTATATGGTTGTAGATAAAGATTCTTCAAAGGAATTAAGTTGAAGATAACAAACAGTGATCGATATTTAAAAAAATACAATTCATAGGCACACCTCATCTTAATTGTTAAAAAATATATATCTACTATACTATAAAATAATAAGTGTTATGATTATAGTATAGTAGATATTAATTTTTTTAACAATTAAGATGGGGAGTGCCTATATATTAAACGAGGTTGTTGAAATCTTATCTGCCATGGTAGCCTACCTCAGTTTAAAAATTGTTCGTACTCAGAGCATGCTCTTGAGTATCGAATAAGCGTGGGGGACATAACCTTCATATGCAGATGATAGCGGAATATTGATGAAGAATTTATTGTTTCGATAATTGGAAAATAAAACCAGTATGTAGGACAATAGGAATCTATAAAACAAATTAAATACACGATAGGTTTTAGTGGGGAAAAACGTTTATTAGTTATACATGAATAAGTTAATCCCCCACCTTCCCCGATTACAATTTATAGTTATTCTTAATATAAATTACTCTGTTCAAGTTTTATGAAGCCCTATAAATTTACCATACACCCCACATCTTAAAATGCACTGTACTTTCATAATTAAAATTTGCAAGCCTGCAAAGGGGGGGGGGGGGAGGAGGTGCTCCCAAACACACTAATAGATGCAATAGAAAACTATAACGTATTTAACGGTTGCGTTTTCGAATCCAAACGTAATTTGCGGATTTTTTTTCAATAAAAAATACTGTTGGGGTATTTTAAAATACGATAATAAATACATATGTACATGTTATTTTTACCAGATCTTGAAAACTTCATTTAAAGCCAAATGACTTTGAGGGAGTTAGGGAGGTGGTTCAGGTGAGCAAAGCAGACACAAATAATTTTGGAAAACAACAATAGCCGACTATCCGAGCGTCACCTAAAGGGCATCGGTAATAGATAGCAGTATGTCTGTTGCTTAGTGTGGTGATCACGTCTGCACGTCTGCACTTTTTTACAGCAACGTGAAGATAAAATAGATCATGATCAATTTAGTTCAGAGTGGTGATCACGTCTGCACTCGTTGACAGCAACGTGAAGATAAAATAGTCAGATCAATTTATAACGCAATAAATCTGGTATTATTTAGACTCATTCTCTGTTTGCTGAACGAATACTTAGTAATTACAATGTCATACTAGTGACTCCACGAATTAGTTGTTCAAACAAAAGTGTTCAATGCATGTTAGTAGTTCTAAGAGACAGTAAACTAAACAGGCTTAAGGTCATCGTCTGTCATTGAAATATGATTCTAAATTATTTGTCTGGTTAGATGAATTTTTGTCCTAGCTACGTGTAGTCATTTTACAGCTCATCTGAACCAAAGGCTTGAGTGAGTTTCTCTGCATGAGTGAAGGCTGTCCGTCTGTTTGTTGTGAGTTTCTCTGCATGAGTGAAGGCTGTCCGTCTGTTTGTTGTGAGTTTCTTTGCATGACTGAAGGCTGTCCGGTTGTTTGTTGTCCGTTATCTTTTGTCTTTAAAAACCCTCAGCCAATTTAAACCAAACTTGCCACAAAGCATCGTTGGATAAAGGGAGGATTCCATCAAAGAAAGAAGGAGTAACATGAGAGAACAAATATATCCAGAGGAAACTTTTTTTTGAAATCTTCCTAAGAACAACAAGGCTGCAATAATTCAAATCTTCATCTTTATGAAGTGTTAATTCCACAATTATAGAACAAAAGATTTAATGTCCTCAGAAGTTGAATGATTCTTGATATGAAAAGTTTATTTGTTATATAATTAAAGAATTCTTAGTTCAAAAACACAATAAAAGGCACTTTAGAAAACAAAAGGTACTTAATTTTCCTCAAGTTTTTCTAGGTTTCTTTTATTGTCTGGCAACATTGAATTTTCATATGCAACAAAATTGTAAGGGTATTTTTAAAGCAAGGTAAGCAATATTGTAACTACATAGAGATTTTTCTTTTTTTTTTAACCAAACTTCAGATATTTAAAACACTTTCCTTAATGATAAACTGGTCATCATTATACAACCTTGGTAGGGTGCTATATAACCTCGTTAAGTACACATTGTGACACACCATTAGGTGTCAGCATCAACAGTTGAATTCAATCTAAATACAGGTTCCAAATTAATTGGCCCAGGCAACATTTTAATATCTCATCCCCAGTGACCTTGCCTTTGAGATAAGAGATTTCGTAAAGGTATTTTTGGTTCATGAGTAACAGCATACTCGATTTTGAATAAACTCCAATTGAGGGTTCAAAAGATACAGCCTGATTGCAAAGTCCAGTGCAATAGGACGTCTCATTGGTACTAGGTTATCACATGCATTTAGGTCATGGTCATCAAAAACTTAAGTGTGAATCCATCCCAAATAAGGTTCTTGATTATTACGATTTTTGAAAGGCATACACCCAGACAACCTAACCCTCATCCCGTTGGAGGAGAAATTATCATACCGATCTTGTAGAGTAGGCTTTCCCCTCTGAAATCCCCCCCCCCCAAAAAAAAAAAAAAAACTGACTCTAGAGTAGGATTACTCCCCGGAAAAAAGCTCTAGAAAAGGATTTCCCCCACGGAAAAATGACTCTAGAGTAGAAAATCCCACATCAGATTCAATTTTCCGGGGGAAAATCCTATATATTCTGTGTAATAGTTATACAGTGCGATTTCCCCCAGAGCCAATTTCCCCCCTAATAAAACTTGGTAATCGGTTGGACAAACTTTTAACTGTATCCTTCGAAACAAAAAAGGAATTTTATTCTAAATGGATTTTTTTCTCCAATTGTTTTTCAAACTAAATGTACATAATACTGATGTGCAAGTGTCTCTCCAAGATTCTGGTGTTTAAATATCCAAAATAGCTGCCGTTGCCATGAAACTAAAAATGGGTCCTTTGCTTCTAAAAAATTGAAATTTTGCAAAACTTTAAGAGAGTATTTGCTCTCTGCCTTCAAATCCAATATTATACCTCTGGGATCGAGGGAACATATGCTTCGGCTTGCAAAAGCAGTATTTCTTATCTTGTTTTGTTTCTGGTTTTGGATTTTTTTGAAGAACTACTCGATTCAAATACTCACAAAATGGCATGTGGAACCTATCAATAACATAAATTTTAGTGATGATATAAAATCTTTATGCAGAGCACAATATAAAGACATCAACAAGTTTTCAAGCGTAAAGTAATTAGTGTTTTTGAATCAAACAGACCCTAGTTATTTCATTTAATATTTTTGAGACTAGTTTTTCTTGTTGATGCGAGAAATTTAATGGGAAGAGAAATTACAGTGTACATATGTCATGAATATTTAAAAACACCTGTTGTGTTTCTTGTGATTTTAAAGGAATTTCTTTTATGCTTAACCTAGTTTTATGCTGGTGTGGTAGGTCAAAAGATAAACTTATAGTACCGTACTTCGTATTTCACAAGAGTTACTTCATTTCCTGATATTAGTGGACAGGAACACTCTGAAAATGACTGTAGAAGGTAAAGTCTTTAATGTTCAGATAAATCTATAGCTATCTGCATTTAACTATATCTATATTAAGTGTTTACATGTCTGTATTTTACTGCTGATCTAAACGTCACATTACCCCTATTTGACTATATTATTTACAAGCTGCTACAAGGGCTATATACCATTATTTTTTCCACATCTGGTACTTTCGAAAGACATATAAGATTTCTTTCCAAAGACAAAATTGATTTTGATATGAAAATTCTGGCACTGCTCTAAATTAGGTTTGCTAGAGCGTCTACAGAAAAAGAAGGACATTGTTGTAGCAGAAGGGTATATTTTTGAATTTGAGCGGCGGGGATACTTGAGGGCAGGATGTTTTGTATCAGAGGTCGTGCTCAATCATCCGGAACTGGTCCGCTCTCTTTATGAAGAATTTGTCCATGCAGGAAGTGAAGTAGTTCTTGCTTTTACTGTAAGTGTTTACTTCATAACGTGAATCAAAAAGGGTAAATTAAGTTAACACATCTTATATAGTCTATTCTGTTTTGGTAATAGTACTATGGGCATCGAGAAAAGTTGAAATTGATTGATCGAGAGGACGACGTCAAAGAACTGAACATAAAAGCCCTGAAAATTGCCAAAGAGGTCGCTATAAACACAGGAACCTTAATGGCGGGAAATATCTGTAATACTACTGTATTCGAGCGAGGGAACCAGGAAGCCATTGACACTACAAGAAAAATGTTTAAGGTTCGTTTGTAAACGTACATTGATTTGAACATATAATAGCGATAAAAATATTACGCTCATCACAAACATAAACACACAATCTGTAAATCATACGAGTTTTAAATGTGATCGATTACTGAAGTTGCGCTTTCATATACTTTACGCATATTTTCATTAAATTTTACATTGCAACAAAGACACTAGAAAACTGTCAGGGAATCTAACAGAGGCTGGCCTTTTACATCTTCGCTAGCCAAGGGTGACGATCTGCTCCTCTCCTCTTTTCAAGAAGGAAATAGAGGAGCGGATCGTCACTCTTGGCTAGCGAAGATGGGTCTTCTATTTAGGAGCAAATCGAGTGGGCCGTATAATGTGGCGCGGACTACATTGTAGCAGAGACGTTCAGTGAA